AAGAAGGGTGACCTAATAGAGTGTGGAAATGATTGAACAATATCATTAATATCACAAGCAAGCAAAATTCTGCTGAAAATTATTAAAAAATGACTGGAACAACATGTCAACAGAGAACTGCTAGATATGCAGGCTGAGTTAGAAGAGGCCGTGCTACTAGGGCTATTATAAGTAATGTCAGATGGATCTTGGCAGAAAGCAGAGAGTACCAGACGAATGTCTATCTGTATTTCATTGACTATGCAAAGGCTTTTGACGGTGTGGATCACAATAAACTGTGGCTCACTCTAAGAAGAATGGGAATCCCAGAATATTTGATTGTGCTTATGTGAAACCTATACTTGAACAAAGAGGCAATCATCAGAACAGAGCAAGGAGACACTGCATGGTTCAAAATCGGGAAGGGTATCCTCCAGGGATGTATTCTGTCTCCATACCTTTTCAGTCTGTATGCAGAACAGATCATCCGGGATGCTGGGCTATATGAGGAGGAATATGGCATCAGAATTGGTGGAAGATTCATCTATAACCTGCTTTATGCAGATGACACAACCCTGCTTGCTGAAAACTGAGGAGGACCTGAAGCTCAACATCAAGAAAACAAAGATATATTGTGAAAAACAGAAGAAGAATGGTGTTGCATTCATTGTTTAAAAAAAAACACACCACAATTTCAAGTTCTATTCTGAAATACAGTGTTGTGAGTGATAGGTTAATATCCATCTGCATACAAGGAAGACCCATTAATATTATTATTATGCAAGTGTACGCTCCAACATCTAGTGCCAAACAGGAAGAAATTGAGAATTTTTACCAAATTTGGAAGTCTGAAGTTGACCAAACATGCAATCAGAATGCATTAATGTTAACTGGTGATTGAGATGTAAAAGTAGGAAACAATGAAGAAGGAATAATAGTTGGAAAATATGGGCTTGGTGATAGAAATGAAGCTGCAAATAAAATGATTGAATCTTGTATTTACAATGATTTGTTCAAATCATCACAAAAGATGACTTTACATGTGGATTTCACCCAATGGGGGAGGCATAGAAATCAGATTGACTACATTTGTGGAAGAAATCATTGGAGAAGCTCAATATCAACAGTCAAACAGGACAGACTGTGGGTCAGATTATCAATTACTCATATGCAAGTTCATATTGAGGCCAGAGAAAACAAAAATGTGTCCACAGGAATGAAGATATGATCTTGAATAAATTCCATCAGAATTTCATGATCATCTTAATAGGTTTGAGGTATTGAACACCAATGATAGAAGACCAGATGAGTTGTGGGATGATATCAACCATGAAGAGAGGAAAAGGTCATTACAAAAACAGAGGAGAAAGAAAAAATCTAAACAGATGTCAAAAGAGACTCTACAGATTGCACTTGGAACATCAAAAAGACAAATCTAAAGGAAAACATGTCGAAGCGAAGGAGCTGAACAGACAATTTCAAAGGACATGGTGGAATGCGCAGAGAGCTGTAATTGTATCTCTCAAGCTGAAAGAACTAAAAAATAAATTTAGGCTTCGTGTTGTGATGTTGAAAGATGCTATGGGCAATGTATTGATTGAATGACCCAGAAAGCATCACAAGAAGATGGAGCAAATACACAGAGCCACTGTATCAGAAAGAATTGATTTACACTGAAAAATTCCAAAAAGTACCATTATGAACAGGAGCCAAAGGTAATGAAAGAGGAAGTGGAAGCTGCATTGAAGGCATTGGCAAAAAAATAAAGTCCCAGAAATCGATGGGATATCAATTGACTTGTTTCAATTAACAGATGCAGTCTTGTATAGACTCACCAGCCTATGCTAGGAAATTTGGAGGATGGCTGTCCGGCAATGAATTGGAAGATATCCATATTTGTTCCTATTCCCAAGAAGGGTGATCCAGCTGAATGTGGATATTATCAAACAGTATCACTGTGATATCACATGCTAGCAAAATACTGTTGAAGATCATTAAAAAACGGCTGGAGATTATGATAAATGGAGAAAATATCTAAGTTGTCATCAACTTAGATATTTGATTAGATTATGAGATCCATAATAATATGATAGGAGAAGTCAAGAAATCAAAAGGTGTACTGCATTGGGAAAAATCTGCTCTCAAGAAGCTTTTCAAAGTGTTAAAGAATAAGGATATCAGTTTAAGATTAAAGTGTGCCTGATGGAAGTCACAGTATTTTCAGCTGCTTCCTATGTATCTGAAAGCAGTACAATGAATAGGGAATGCTTTTAGATGTTTTTGAATGTGACACTATTGAAGAATACTGAATATACATACCATGGACTGCCTAAAGAACAAATTAATCTGTCTTAGAGGAAGTACAGGTTTCTTCTAAAAGGCAAGGATGGTAAAACTTCTCATGTATTTTGGGCATGTTGCCAAGAGGGACGAGTCTTGGGAAAAGATGGAGGAACAGAGGGAGATTCTCAACTAAATGGATTGACACAGTGACTGTAACAATAGGTTTGAGAATGGTAGAGATAGTGATAATGGCACAGGATACGGCAAGGTTCAGATCTGTTGTTCATAGGGTCGCTATGAGTCATTCTCTACTTGACATGAACTTAACAACAACAACAACAACAACAACAACACATACTCTCATTTAAAGAGCTTCTGTCTTCTCAATTGCTTGCTATGCAGCAGAAAGCTGGACAATAACTAAGGAAGACAGAAGAATTGGTGCCTTTGAGCTGTGGTTCTGGAGAAGAGTACTGCACATACCATGGATGGCCAAGTGAACAAATAAGTCTGTCCTGGAGAGGGTGAAATAGGTGGCTCCTTGGAGGCAAGGATTTTGAAAGTCAATCTCACATACTTGGGCATGTTGCTATGAGGGGCCTTGGAGGAGTACTTCATGCTTGGAAGGGTCAGTACAGGAGAAGACGGCCCTGGATGAGACAGATTAATACAGTGGCAATGGGGTCAGGTGTGTCAGAGATTGTGAAGTTGGCTCAGTTAAAGGACAAGATTCAGAGCCTTTCCTCATAGGGTCATGATGTGTCATTGCTAACTCTATAGAACATAACAACAATAGCGTGGTGTGTTGTGGAATGTGCTGAGCTGTGGCAGCTGCACTGTAAGACAAAGATTGTTTCCTCCAACGAAGATTTGCTGCCTTAGAAACTCTACCTAGAGGGTTGCCATGGGTGGGGGACAAGTGTAAGGCAGTGAGTGTGGCTTTGGTTTTGGGTATTCTCCCATTGGTGAATAAGTTGCTTTTGTTATGGTTATGTGTCAGGATTAGTGTAAGATGTGTCTTAAATTAATCCTTTCTGAGATATGAAAGAAATTAAATAAGCAGGTGACTAAATAGAGGAAGAAACAGCTGCCAAACCACTGAGGAGCAGCCAGTGAGGGTCAGAGAAGGGGCTGCCTTCTTGAGCTCACAGGGAAAGCCTTCCTAAGAGCACCTGAACACAGACGTAGAGCTTCCTCAACAAGGAGAAAAGGAATTTCTGTTTGGTGAAACTACCAACTCACAGCATTCTTGCTATTGCAGCGGGAGGTTACTATGGCACCCATAACTACAAGGCTAAGCAGACCATGTGTGAAGACTTTCAGAATAACTTCCCAAGTGTCAAAATCCAGATTCTCTTTCAAAAGAAGTATCTTCCTTCTCCCCTCCCGCACCTTGGTCTTGCACTCGCTCTTGCTGTGTGCTCCCTCCCTCCCTCCCTCCCTCCCTCTCTCTCTCTCTCTCTCTCTCTCTCTCACACACACACACACACACACACACACACACACTCACACACACGGTTGATTAAGCAAATCAAGCACCAAACCCCACTCCCAGGTTCATATACTTCAGGCTTGCCCCTGCTCACCAGGAGACTTCTGTAAGGTTTTGACATAAGTGTTTGTTTTATCAGGTTCTGTCAAGTCTATGCCCCGATGACTGAGGTTTTTAAATGCACATATACTATTCAGATTCTCAGCTGCCTGCCCTGGGTAAGTGATCTAATAGAAAAGACTAATAATAGCTGACACAAACTGCGGAGCATTCTGCCTCTGGCCTCTGCCCGACTGGCATGCAGCAGCCACTGCTGACCTCTCACTAGAGCAGAGAGAAGCAGAGGCCAGGAAGCCCATGTGCCTGTGTGCCGCAAAAACATGGGAAAGTGCCTGTCTAAGCCGTGTTTACAGAAGTAGCCAGCAGACAGAAGAACTGAAAAGATGCCAGTGAGTTACAGAATGACGTCATGGCTGGCCAGCTCCAAGGCCTCATTGTTAAAATGTCTAAAAGCCAACTTCATGACTATGAAATGGAATTTGGAGTTGTTTTAGACTTGCAATGGTCTCCTCTTTCTAAAATAGCAAAGTATATAAGGAAGAAAGAATAAATGCCACCCACACACTCAAACAGTTAAAAATATTCTGATTTACAGAGACTCCTTAGTGGCCCTTGAGACAGAAACTGTCTCATGCAGTTCCCAGAAGTGCGCACCTTATAAGGGTGACGTCACATTCTTCTCTGTGGAATGAATGGCTGCTGGCTTTGTTCGACTCACCTTTCATTCAGCAGTTGAGTACTTAGCCACTGGACCACCAGGGCTCTTTGCTGACATTTTTATGTAATGATGAGAGAGGCAGGATCTGTGAAGGATGATCAGGGATTGGGGTTGCTCTTGGGATTTACTAACTAGCTCACTGATGAGTGAAACTGGAGTTGAGGATCAGGTATGAGCCCCAGGAGTTCACCCTGGAGGAGCTCATTCATTTTTTGTTAGGAGGAAAAGAAGTGCATTGCCAAAAGGCTGGGATGCAGGCCATTTACTCTCTAGTTAAAAAACAAACCAGCAAATCTCCAGATGCCACGGATCACAGCTCAGTGCACCTTGTGTCCCAGAGACTCACTTTTAAGCGGCCACCTTTCTCTCACAATGCCTTTGGGCGAAGGTGAGCCATCAAACTTTTCATTAGCAGTGGATGTGTTAACCAGCTGCACCCCAAGAATCCCACTCGCCAATTTCACTCACTATTTTCCGCTCATAGAAGGCGCCGCTGCTGTAGGTGGTGGTCAGTGTGGATGCACACTCCTCCAGGTACCAGGGCTTGTAGCCATTCTCGGTGGTGCTGCTTACAGAGATGGTATAGATGCTGTTGGTGTAGCCGTCACAGGAACAGTGGTCACCCTCTCTCCCACCATTGCCGGATGCCCAGACAAAAATGGACCCCAGACCCTGCCGGCCCTAGAGGGGAGGAGAAGCATATATCACTCAGGGCCACAAAAGTGGACTGCATATGGCCTGGAATCTCCAGTGAAATTCTGGCACAGAGGGAAGGAGGGATTCAAACATTGCATTCAGCTCAGTTGTTTTGGCCAGAGGTAGCAGCCTTCACACTGGACCTTAGTGTAGGAGGGCCTAGCAAGACCCCCTCACACAAACATCAATGGGACAGATGTAATAGTACAACTCCAAAACAATGCCTGCAATTGGTACTACCATAATGTAGAATAAAAAGACCAAGCCATGTCACATGTCTGAGAAGATACATGATGTATGACTTTATCACTTCAACTTTTCTGGACTGAAAGATCTGGCCCTGTGGGAAGAGAATGAAGTTTACAGAAAATGTGAATTCTGAAAGTAGGATGGGAGAGTGAATTCTGCGCAAAGAATGACTAGGTAAGAAGGGTTCTGGTGCAGTTGGCCCATGGCAGCTTCCTATGTCCTACCAGAATTCCTGCAGCCCCATCCTTGGGGAGTAATGAACAATCAGGTCTCAAGGTGAAGCCAAGGCCACCCTCCACTTGTGAGTAGGCTTTGGTTTGCAAGACTAGACACAGAAAAGAAATGTTTGAAGGGGAGTACAGGCTCTTTCTACTTGACATTAGGAGGACCCAAGACTTCACAGGGCCCAGGGTGCACTCAGGTGTCAGGCTCAGCCGTGAACAAATAGGAGACCAAGTCGACTGGTCCACATTCAGTTCACATGAGTAGACTCACTGGCTGTGTATAGATAGGCCCAGCTCCTGGGGACAGTGCCAACACCATCTCCACCGAGAACTGGGCTCAGCCCATACTGACATTAGCTGGCATCCTTACCAAGGACCTTGCTTCCAAAGCACATGGAAGAAAACGGGTATGTATGTTCAACCTTTGGCCAGTACAAAGAGATGTTTCAGTTCTGCAATCTCCAAGTCCTTGCTGTTTTCTGGAAGGATACAAATCACCTTCTTGGAGAGTCCCAGGTCCACATTCCGGGGCAGGTATAGTTGCTCCGTGAGCCATGGGAGAGTCAGTGCACAGACAAGTGCTTATGCAGATCCCTGGTCCCCTGGCCTGTTTGGTCCTAACATTGTCCTAACTTTGTTCCAACCTGAGGTGCTGCTCCATAGAACCCACAGGAGGGGGACTTGGGCTCCTCCAGCTATTCAACTTGACAGTGCTTCATTCAGAGGAGCACTCAAGGCTTCAAAGGGGCAGCTGCCTTCTAGAACAGAAGCCAAAATATAACGTCAAGTGTCAGCTCTAGGACACTGACACCTGAGGCTCCCTCATGCGTAACTCCGTACACAAGCTTGCACTGAACAATGTGGAAATGCCAACAACTGCTCCAGAGTTTTCATAAGGGCATCAAAGATACTTCTGAACATGCATGTGCTCAAGAATCCCCAGAGGAATGTTGGAGTGAAGATTCTGATTTAACAAGTGTGGGGTGGGCCAAGAGTTTGCATTTCCAATAGCTACAGCTGATGCAGGTGGGGGTAGGGGTGGCCATAGAGAGTGAAAGATGTCACATAGGCATATTGCTGAGTCCTTCCACCTAGCATCTGCCTATGAGGGACCCTGGACATTTCTCAGGCAGCAGGACCCCCTTAGTCCCCCATTCTTTACACAGGGTTTCCTGGAAAGGGATCCTGGGCACTTGGGGCAGGACAGTGGGAGCCAGTGTGCTAGAGCAGTATGAGTGTCTGAGGATGGCATGCCTAACTCCAAGTCCTCATACACAAGAGCCATAGTCAGAGCTCTAGGGAAGTCTGTCTCAAGGCTGAACTAGCATTTATGTCCAGCAAAGTCATCCAAACAAGAGGAGAGCTCATCAGTGAGTTGAAGAACATCATTACTGAGGAACAATTACTCATTGCTCACCACAAAAATGTCACTCCCACTATGGAGTGAGTGTCACTTGAGGGCAAACACTTTTTTTCAACTCCAAACTTTGCCCTATCCTGAGCCAAGCTCATAATCTCCCTAAGGCTAATATTACAGTCACTAAGTCAATCAATCAGGAGGAAGGTGGTTTTTTTCCACATTTAAAATTATTATTAATTTCAGTATATTTAAATTTATTATTAATTTCAGTAAAAATTCACAGAGGCTTTGGATTTCCATTCATTCATTGTTGCACATTACTCCCCATCCAAGCCTCCCCCTAGAACACTACCCTCTTGGAAAAGTAAAAGAAAAATACTTTCATTGTTTTACAAACCCTCCCCTAGGTCCACTCCACCATGTAGCCATTACTCTAGACTCCTGTCATGACAAAAATACCTAATCACATATCCCTTTTAAACAGTTTTCTCCCTCATCTGTTTCAGTGCAGTATACATTCTTGAACCCATCTTACTCAGTCTCTCCCCAACCCCAAGGTCAGTCCTCTTTCACAACAGTGGCATCATGCAATATTTGTCCTTTTGTGACTGAGATATTTCACTCAGCACAATGTTCTCCAGAGTCAACCATTTTGAATAATATTGCATGAGTTCCTTGTTTTTCAATGCAGCGTAGTATTCCATTGTGTGAATATACCACAGCTTGTCTAGCCATTCATTTGTTGATGGGCACTTAATTTGTTTCCAACTCTTTGCTATTGTGAACAAAGCTGCAATAAACATGGGTGTGCATGTATCTGCTTGGATGTCAGTTATGGTCTCTTCGGGGTATATTCCCAGTAGTGGAATTGCTGGGTCAAATGGTATCTCTATTTGCAGCTTTTTGAGAAAGCACCATACTGCTTTCCAAAGGGGCTTCACCATTTTACACTCCCACCAACAGTGAATAAGGGTTCCAGTTTCTCCACAACCTTGCCAGCATTTGTTGCTTGGTGTTCTGTTAAATTTTGCTATTTTGACTGGGGGTGAGATGATATCTCATAGTTGTTTTAATTTGCATCTGTCTTAGAGCTAGGGACTTTGAACATTTCTTCATGTGCTTGTTAGCCATCTGAATGTTGTCTTCGGTGAAGTGCCTGTTCATATCCTGTGCCCATTTTTCTATTGGATTATTTAAGGAGAAAGGGTTTTTTTTAAATTTTTTTTATTTTTGTGTGAGTGTACCGTCAAATCAGATCTGACTGGTACAGCAGGAGATTGTCCCTCCTTTTCCCGGCAGAGCATCTGGTGGATTCGAACCGTGAGCCTCTGGGATTGTAGTTGCAGCTTCTTGCCACTAGGCCACTAGAGCTCCCCGGCAAAAGGTTTTTTATGAACCAATATGAGAGAGATGTTTTATGTTAAATGACGGCTTCCCTTCACTCCCACATGATATTTGCCAATTCAAAATTTTGAAGCATACAGTCCAGTTACATTAATTGCACTCATACTTCTGTACAACCATTACCACTATCTCTTTCTAAAACTTTAAAATCATTCCAGGCAGAAACTCTATGCACATTAGGCAATGAGCTTCCTGAAGCCTCCCTGCAGTCCTACCCCCAGCCTCCTTATAGTCCTATCCCCAGTGTCCTTGCAGTCGTCCCTACAGCCTCCATGCAATCTTCCCCGCAGCTCCCCCAAGTCCTTTCCACAGTCCTCCAAGGAGCTTCCCCTTAGCCTCTATGGAGTCCTCCCTGCAGCTTCCTCACAGTCCTCTCCACAGCCCCTGGTGGTAGTCCTCGCTGCAGCCTCCTTAACATTCCTCCCCTCAGCCTCCTTGTAGTCCTCTCTGCAGCCCCCTTACAGTCCTCCCTGCAGCCTCCTTGCAGTCCTCCCCTTAGCCTCCTGCAGCCCTCCCCACTGTCATCCCCACAACCTCCTTACAATCCTCCCTGCAGCCTCCTGCAGTCCTCAGTAAGACTTCCCTTCTCTGTACATTTGCCCATTCTAGATAGTTCACATGAGTAGAATCACAGGAAGGCCCTGATTGTACGAAGCATTTGCAATTGGCTATGAACCCAGTAATGGGTCCCAGCATTTCAGAGGTCATGACGACAAGGTTCTGATCTGTTGTTCATGGTGTCATCCCCATGGATGTGCTCAGACGGATGGCACCAAACAACAATAACCTAGAGGCTGGCAGTTTAAACCCCTTATTACAACCATTACAAAATGCCTGGTTATCTGCTCTATAAAGATGATAGTCAAGAAGTTCCATGAGCCAGGAGTCAGTCTCCTGGAGAGCAGAGGTTGTTCTGAAGGTAGATGGATTAGGGAGAATCACACTGTATTTGCCATTCTGTGTCTGGTTTATTTCACTTAGTAAAAAATGGCTTTTTTTTTTTTAACTTTTTACTATTTTTGGTTTGGTTTTTATTGCCCTCCTTTTTAGTTTTAATTGTCTTTACTTTATGCTTACATACACAGTTAACGTCTGCTACCACTGCACTACCATTGCTCACGGAGTCTGATCCTGGAGGACTATGTCATCAGAGATCTGCTAACACTCCATCATCATCGCCCACTGGGACTCTGGTCCGGAAGGGCTATGTCATCAGAGCTCTGCAAAAAACTGAGATCAGACTATCAGGAAATGGAATGTTGGTGACAAATGGGGCCAGCAGAGGAGGAACAGATGGGGATGAGTTAGTTTGATCATCAAATCTGCAGGAATATTTTCAGTGACAGATCTAGACGGCTGTCATTTAAGTATCTCTGTATGACATATTTTACTTCAGAATGACAAAATAAAATAATAAAAAAAAGTTTAATATCTCAAAACTGTGAGATGATGGGAATCACATCCCCCAACCCCCAAATGTCTCCACTCTGAAAGCTCGATGGAGCAGCTGCTCCTCGGAATCTGGGATGCAAACAAAGCTCCCTCCTTTGCAGCTTGTAACTTTCCAGAGTCTTACACAGGTTTAGTCTACTTGGGCTTAAGGGGGGGCAGAACCAGGCAACTGACTAGTACAAAGCAGACCCCTAACAGAACAAAGAAATAACTGTTTGCCTCTTGCCAACAAGATACTGTTCCTAGTCTCTCTTTAGGAATCCCCTTACAGAAAAGATGATGTTCAGCAAGATAAG